GACCACTCACACCCAGGGCCAGTTTAGTTACCAGTGAACCTAACGCATTTATTCATTCATTTACTTATTTATTTACCCTTTATTTAACCAGGAAATCCCACTGAGTTTAAAATCTTTTTTTTTCAAGAGAAATGTGACCGAGATAGGCAGCAGCAGCAAATACAACACATAGTTTCACATCTCAGTAAGACGACCAACTTAAAGACATCAAATAGAAACAAAAAAAATTAAAATGACAACAAATGAAAAACAACAGGTGCAAGTGATGGAGTTCGTCTCAAGCTCTTTCACAAGACATATGTGTTTTTGATCTGTGAGAGGAAACTGGTGGATCCAGAGAAAACCCACAAGTGCACAGGGAGAATATGCAAACTCCTCACAGAAAGGTCCAAGGTCAGTGAAGGACATTTTGTAACTGATTGACTAAATGTTAGATCCAGTTTTGTATTTTTATACATCCTGATCATTGCAGCCATGTGGTTTTAAACAGTGAATGTGTGTGTGTGTATGGGTTTGTTTCTGGTGACATTTGGGGGTAATTTTAAGACAAAATGCCTACCTTTGGGGACCAATGATGCATTTGGGGACAAAAGTCGAGTCCCCATTTGGTTTAAAAGACATTGGTGGGTTGGGGGTTAGGTTTAGGACCAAGGTGTGAATTGAGATTAGGTTAGTTTTAGGGTCAGGTAGGTACCTGTGAGGTTAGCCTTAGGGTTTGTGGTCAGGGTTAGGCTGTAGAAAAGTAATGGAAGTCAATGGAATATCCCCAAATGGATAGCTGTGCAAACGTGTGTGTGTGTGTGTCTTGCTGTAGCACAAACAAAAGACCTGTTTTAAAGGTATTGTATTGTATTGAGTTTAAATCAAACAGTATGCTTTTTCCCACTCAATTCATTAAGTATTATATCTGAATCTTTTTACAACAAAGCATTACCCACAGTATTACAATGAGTCCTTTACTGATTTTATGGCTAAATACAAGTTTAAAATAGAAAAATCATTAAAAAAACTAAGAGCAATTTTTAATTTTTAAAGACCTTTTTCCTTTTTAGGTATTTTTTCACCAGTAGCTCAGGATACAGGAAAGCGGGAGGCTGATTAATTAATGATCAGCAGCTGGGAGCCTCTCTGTGAAGCAGATGTTTTGACAGTTTGTTGCTCTGTAGGATTCAGGTATGTGTTCACACATCGCCAAGGCGGAACGGCATCTGCAGTGATCCAAAAGAAACAAACAACTGTTGCTGTTTCTTAATTTGGAACTCATTAAAAAGGCAATTTCACCATTCTTTCATTCACCATCTACGGCAAGGAAGATTACTCTCACCAAGAAATAATCCACAATCCAGATCCATACTGAACATGTATGTGTGGAGCAAAAATTTAAAAAATATGACAAGTTAAAAACCACAATTATTAAAAATTGGATACACATTTTTCTAAACTTCCTGCTCACACAGGTATTATCATAACACTTTTAAAACAAGTCACTTTCTTGCAATGGGTTTTCTTACTCTTTCCAGTAATGTTACCCATTTAATTACTCTAAAATATTGCTGCTAAATATGAAGCTACTGAATTATGACACTTAAATTCTTCCTCACACTGTCCCTTTTTATAAAAAGAAATGGCACCGAGCCATGTGGGAAGATTTTTAATCATCTCCTGACACATTAAATCTCCGAATTTCAAGAGGTCGTACTTACTCGTTACCATGATGGTGTCCATGCAACAAGTTTTTCACATGTCAGGAAAAACACAGCACACCTGACGCTTGATCAGTAGAGACCCAGTGGTGTAAATGTCAAATGAGTTAATTTAAAACTGCAAAATGTCATCGAAAAATATATGACCATGTCCCAAAAGACAAATTAAACGAAGCAAAGGACAAGTCAAAAGAAGCTGAAGGCCAGCTAAAAAAAGGCTAAAACAAGCAGAAGACATGCAAGCTAAAACATGGAAAAGAATAGCTAAATAGCCAAATAATCTTAAAATTATGAGTAGCAGAACAACCAAACACTAAAAGTAGCACAAGATAAAAACAGTGATTCTGCTGAACAGGATATCAAAAGAGAACAATGTTTTTTTAAGGAATCCAAGAGATCCAACTGCACTTTTTGTGGAAACACGTGCATAAAGGTTACATCAACCAAATGCATATCACCTGTTCTCTGAATGAGCTGAACTTTTGATACATGAATGGCTAAAACTGTACAAAGTTTGCTGAAGTAGTTAGATTGTAATTAACATATGGATTATTAAACAAAAACAATAAAGTTAATGCTGAATCAGCATTCACAAAATAGACTTTTAAAAACTCTATCGCTGACAAACGTAAGTTCTGTTGCATTGTGTTTACACCATCATTTGTTACACTCTTTTAAATATAATAATCATTACTGTTTTAATGCTGGTGAGACAAAAGAGAATAAAAATTAGTGGGTATTTAAATATCACTGGTTTAATATGAAAGCTTAGGTTATTTAAATTGAAAACACCTGAACAAGCAATGAAAAACACCCCCACCGACCACACAATTTTTCATGCTGACAGGTGAACCAAGGTGGCCATTAATTCTAAAGGTGAGGTCATTTGTGCCATTGTTATGCACTGCTGCTGCCGTATCTCCACATGGCATTCTTTTTTACTGTTTTGTTCGCTCCACTGAAAGCCCAAACTGAGTCTATTTGTCTTTCGTGGAGAGTTCACATCCATTGTTGTGATCATGTGTACATCCTGCAGTAGCAAATCTCTTTCCCTGTGAAGTGGCTCACCCTGTGTTCCTCAGTGGAGGGTTCCCACGCTTAGCATTCATGCTACCATGTTTGGTAACATTACACCGATCTGCCTTCTGAGCTCCCTGATGACAAGCGGCAGGGGACGCGTCTCAGCGGACGGAGCACTCGAACAGATTTTTCACGTCAAACACGGACGCTTCCCACCTGCAGACTCTGTTGGGACTGGTTGACGCTCCCAGCAGAGTCGGACTGCTCCTCTCAGGGATGTTCATTTGCGGAGCTTTGCTTCACATCACAAACCCTGACTTCGAGTTCCTGCCTTTCTGGGAATAAAAAAAAATACGTTAAATCTTTTGATGCAGTGTTCAGTAGGATTTTTATTTTATTGTATTAATATATATATATATATATTGAGAGTAGGACCCACAATGCACCATGTCTCTCTTCTGGCCTCCATAGCTCTTTGAGCAGGGCGGAGCTTGCACCTTTTCGGCTTTAAAGAGAGGACCCAGGTAATTAGAACTGATGAGATCAGTGTTTCCCAAAATTGGGGTCAGGACCCAAAGTGGGGTCCCGAAACATCAAGGTGGGGGTCCTGAAAAGATTTTCTGAGTTAATGACATTTTTGCCTTAGTTTTTACAAAGGAGTGAGGTTAGTATATTTAAAATGGATAAATGTAGTATAAAAATATTGTTACTATGCCCATGTTTAGTTGACCTGATACAAATGTTTATCATCCAAAAATAGTTGGCGGCATAAGTCCCTGCTACTGTTATTTTGTGGGTCAAAAGCTGAAAAGTTTTGGGAACCAGTGCACTTTGGTTCCCAAAGTTGGGCTTGGGACCCAATTATGGGTCATGAAGCACCTTGGATA